AAGTATTTTTCTGATCTTTTGGAAGTAGATTGCCTGCTCTTTCTTCCCAGGCACCTCTGGGACTCAAACTACCAAGTTTTCAGTTAGCAGCCCAAAGCAAAGGCCTCTCAGATGTTCCAGAGTCTCCAATCAAAAACCAGACTCACTGCCGTGGAGTCAGTTACAACTCATAGCAACCCCCATTGGATTTCCAAGGCTGTAAATATTTATGGAAGCAGACTGCCTCATCTTTCTTTGGTGGGAGTGGCTGGTAGGTTCGAACCACTGACCTTTTGGTTAGCAGCCAAAGGCCTTAATCACTGCACCACCAGAGCTCCCCGAGAGGCTCTTGCCCTGGTATAATTAGTGGCTCAGTGTCATCAAGCAGGCAGGTCCTTTGTCTCCCCATTGTTTGCAATATAGCTGCCGGCAGCATTCCTACTTCACATCTGGGGAGAGAGAAAACCTCTCCCCCAATTACACAATGTAAGTCCTTCCCTTCTATCCGATAGACCCAATTTAGGACATGCAACTGCCCTTGGACCAGTTGCCAGGGAAATGCCTTGCACAGATTGGCTTAGACTAATTATCTGATGTGAAATGATCGTTGGGGAATTAACCATAATATCCTCCTCACTCAGAAATAACAAGAGGAAAACACGTTCAGAGAATGAAATTTAGCTAATTGGATTGACTTGCTTCAGTTTATCCATAATGATCTTGGGCTTTTTTTTTTTTTTTCTAGATTAGTGTTTTTCAAATTGTGGACCATAGTCCATTAGTGCATAAGTTCTCAAAGTGTGGTTCAGGCTTCCAGGGATTTCTGAGACCCTTTCAAAGGGTTCACAAAATCAAAATCATTTTCATAATACTACTAAGACTTCCGTAGTGATACTGCCTCGGAAATCCAAGGAAGGGTCACTATGAGTCGGGGCCGACTCGACAGCAAACAACAACAACAACAACTAAGACTTCATTTACTTTTTCACTTTCACTCTCACAAGCATATAGTTGAATTTTCCACAGGCTAAATGATACATGGTGTTATTGCTCTGCCAGCTAATGGAATATAAAATAGTGGAATATAAAAATTAATGGAGTAAGAGATGGTATATTCTCATGTTTTTAAAAATTCTCATTTTTTCATTTCT